TGTTTTGGTTTACTCAGACCATGAGGTCGGAAACCAAATTATGTTCTATCTGCTCCATCAAAATCGTAAGTCTTTTCGGAGTCGTTAGCAAGATATTCAAAGTATTGCATTCGAAAAAGCTTGACATGATGCGATACTCAAAATGTTGTACTTCAAATTTTTCAAAACTATTTACTGAGCAAATAGAACTTTGTAATTTTTTATAACGATATATGTCTGCTATATCCTTAAAGAGTTAAACTCGTCTGTCAGTACGCAAAAGGCCAAACTTTTAATTGATTATGTATACCTCACTCTCAATGTTGGTTCAAAGGCATCTCAAGGTGTGCCATACATATACAAATACAATCAATTCCATATAGAATCACAGTTAAAATATTCATGAGTAAGATCTTATGTGGTGTCGGTGGTCTAGTGGTTAGGCTGACGGACTTGCAACCGAAAGGTCGTGGATTCGAGCCTTGTCAAGGACCAAATGTTCTGTCCTACAGAAAGGCACTTTAGACAAATTCTTTCTGTTCACCCAAGAGGGAGTAGGTACTCAGTAATAGTTATAGACAGCAAAAGCTTGTCCGTTTCTTAAAATTCGACCATTTAATCGACTGTTTGTTCTGTATGCTTCCTGGAAAGCCAAGGATTTTTCTGGGCATTCTAGGGTCTGTAGGGAGTAATAATATAGATTGCAAAGAGCATAGAGCTTGCTGTTAAGCGGGGATATGCTCTATACAAAAACTAATTATTATCCTTTTGTATTAGTACAAACAGAAACACTTCACAGGAGATGGAACACCCACAGTCTTCACCCCAACCATAGAACAGAGAAGTAATCTAACTCCTCACCTCTCTACTCTATGTTCAAGCTCTCTAATCCGGGATCAGATCCTACCTCTTAATTAACTTCGAGGAAGAAGCTCACGCACACACACAGAAGTCTTATCATCCAATCTCCGGGGAGTTTGGTTCACACGTTTGCCACGACGCGGTGGAATCAGGCTCTCGTCAATTTTGGGGCACATAAAGTTATTCCTATCATCTTAAAGCTTGTTTATTTTTTTTTCTTTGCTCTTGATAAAGAAATAGCCATCTATATCGAATAGAAGTGGAAATAATCGATTCTGAAGAAGATGGTGGTCGCCTGGTGTCAGAGAAAAATTTTGCAAAAATGTGACTTCCAAAGATTGGGTGTCTTTAGAAACTGCAAATGTACATTTTCTATCCCTTTTCTCAATGATTTCAGTCAATATCCGCCTGGAAATGTCTTTTTGAATGGATCTAAAGGGAGATGGGTCGAAAATGACAAATTAATAAAAATCGCCCAAGAGGCTGAAAAGTGCCAGTTTCTTCGATTCTATTATTTTGACGAGCACCTGATTCCATCACATTGCAAAACATTTAATTCCAAATTTCCTCAGGTTCAATAGAAACTTCATCTATTTCAGGGCCA